CAGTTTATCAGCTAAAAAAAGTTAATTTTGGGGTAAGTTACTCTTTAAGGAAATCCAGATTATCGTGATGGCTCTAAAGATAATCTGATCAGATATTCCTGCCGTGGGTGGTGAGTTAAGAGTGATCTAGTCGGCTCAGAAGGACGTCGGGACCGCTCCGACCTCAAATCGGGGATATTCAACATGTTAGATTTTTTGGCTGATATTACAGTGTGTGTAGTGTTCACCCCGAGCTCGCAGCCTGTTGAATGAGACATGTAGCCAATCAGAAAGCGAGGTGACGTCAACAAAAACTGTCATGACTCAGCAGAAAGTCTGCTGGATGTTGAAAGTCCTATGGAATTGTTTTTCCTCTGGTAAAAATAGTCCACAAACGATCCACATTGTTTCTGTCTTGTTGCAAATGTTTATTTACTCTGAAATCACCTCTCTGGAGGTCACGTGAGATTTTTCCTCGGACATATGAAGTCTCGCGAAATTTCAGGAAGTCTCGCATGATTTAAAAACTGACATCTGAATGTTCATGAATGAAATATCTTTCCGTGTGTGGTGGGTTGTTTCTTGCCGTGTGGCTGTGCACCTCACACTGTAGGACCAAACCTGGTAGACCCATGATTTTTTAATCCTCAGGCTCTCTCAGTCTTTGAAAATCGGCCGACTGGTTTAAAATCTTGTCGAGTGACTCAGGCCTTACAGACGATGGCGGTGATGCGGTTCTCCCTGAGCAGAGGCTGAGCCGAGTTCTGTTGCACCAACAGCTCTGTACGAGATTCAAACACTTCCTCATGCTGGATGGGGAGAGGCTAATTATTGCACACTCATAACGTCTTTAGTCATGTAACCTTGCTCAACTTGTTTTTTTTTTTCTTCAACAGGAAAACACGAAGAGAAACAAGAGGAAGGAGGAATCGTGACGAAGAATTTCACAAAGAAAATCCAGTGAGTGAAGCTGTGAGCTCATCTTTAACAACGGCTACACAATAATAAATATGACATGATAAAACACGCTGCGTGCACCAGATAAGAACATGTTTGGGATGATTTTCGCTGTGGATCTCGTCACTTTCTCTGGCGTTGACCGTAGAAGGAAGTGTGCTGTCGGTTTGACCTTGCAGCTAAATATTGAAGAGATTTGTGTCTGCACCTGTGAGGTGAAAAGTCCCACTTCGACCGACTCAAACACACTGTGAAGAGACCATGTCGTAATAACGGATCCAACAGAACTCCCTTTAATGCCACTCGAGGATTTCGAAGCTAAAATGCAGAATTCTTTATGTTATTTAATAAATTCTGCTGTTTTTCACACATTATATAACATTATAAGCAACAGATTTACAAAGCTGTTATTTGGAGCTTCATATTTACCAAATCACAGCAGAGAGCTTTTGCTACAAAAGTCCTTATAAGGTGCTTTCTGGATTGATACGTTTCAGGAGGCTGTTATGGGGAGGTAATGGGGACTGAGTTTCTCCTAATGGACAACATTCCTCTGAGGGCTTATTCTCTGCTTGCATTTGCACCGTTGATAGAAAATCATGACGACTCTAAATCACCGTGCATTTTCTCTGTTGGATGTAGACTCAATAGATCCCAGACTTCTCTCTACGGGTCCATTCCTCCTCAGAGTTTGTGTGCTGGAAGTGAAAGAAAATGTTAAAGGGTTGGACCTAACAAGTCTGGAGTCACAAACCTGCAGTCCTGAAAGTATCGTTGGAATCATTCACGATTTTCAATGCAGGTCTATGTGGTTTAAATGTTTATAATCTTGTCAAACCCCATTTTTTATTTCTTAGACTCTGATACCTGTCTGAAATAGAGCATTGTAATTTTTGCGATTTTTTAAGCTTAAAAACACAATCCAGTGTGAATAATTTCACAAACATCTGACATCTGAAACCTTTTCACTTTTTTAATATACGTATTCAGCTCTGTCTGCCCTTGTCGCCTAAACTCCTTTAATTTTGGCACAGTGAGCAGAGATCTGCAGGCTTGTTACAAGATTCAGCTCTCTATCAGCTGCAGAGTTAGAAAAGAAATCAAGAATCCTTAAGAACTAAATGCTAATTGTTGAGAAAACACAGTAACTGGAACAGTTTATGGTGCAACAGACAGCTGGTCAGGGATGTAGAAGCTCAAGTGGATGGATGGATGGATGGATGGATGGATGGATGGATGGATGGATGGATGGATGGATGGATGGATGGATGGATGGATGGA